GTAAAAAATTTCTAAATAAAGTATGCATTAAATGTGAGTTGACTTTTTTCGCTACTATTTTTGGTAAATAGTATAGCTTTTAGTATAAGTATAGATATAGATATAGATTTAGTTTTTAAAACACCCAAACACCTTCTTTATGAGGCCATTGAAGAATAATTTAGCTACAAATTAAACTAGTACAACACACGTGTATTACACGGGTGCTTGTTAAAAAATATTCATAAATTCTAAAATTAATGAAAAAAATTATTTTAAATTTTATTACTTTTTTACAAAAAATATACTATCTCATATTCTTTTTAAATGACATTTTGGCAATATCAACTATTAACAAAATAAATGTCGTTTTTTATATTTTGTACATATTTTTTCCATTATTACATTCATCTAGCTAATAAATACATTACGTCTTTTTATATTCACTTTTCATCTTTTCTCAAAACATTCATCTCCATCCTTATTAATGAGGGTTATTATTGGCAAAAAAATATTCTTAATAACTGTGCAACTTCTCTAAACGACACTTATTATGAATAAGAGGGAGTATATTATTATATGTTTTAGAATGCGCACTGTACCATGCCTTTCATTTTTAATTATATAAATGTAATCCAATTACAAGTAACAGCAAATATACAATATACAACATTTATAATTGCAAATTTACTGGAAACTTAAAATTGATTAATTTATAAAAGCTGCCTTAATAAACTTGTAACTAAAGGTTCCTCATCACCTTCCAAAACCGCCCCAAGAAAATTGGTAAGAAAATCTCATATTTCTCTCTCTCTCTCACTCTATTCTTTGTCTTCTTCTTCTTCTCTCTCTCTCTCACTCTATTCTTTGTCTTCTTCTTCTTCTCTCTCTCTCTCTCTCTCTCTCTCTCTCTCTCTCTCTCTCTCTCTCTATCTCTCTCTCTCTCTCTTTTTCTTCAATCGACCCACCCACCTATCCCCGCGACTGCCTAATCTCCAACGCGTCATATTTCCCCCCACGGTTCAACGGCCACCAACTCCAACGCCGGCAGCCAGAATGTCCGGGTGTGCGAGATCTGCCCCTCCACTGTCGAGACCACGGGACGCTACGGTGTGGACGAGAAGATGATTTCGGCGAGGCACGAGAAGTCGGGTCAACACGAGGAAGAAGAAGAAACTGACTTTTCTTCGCTCCGTCCCGAGATGCCGGCGAGTGTTAACATTCTCAAACACCACCGAGAATTGCTAGATTAAAATTTTCCTGTGGCACTGATTTTTAATGAAGAAGACGAATTCTCTTTTCTTTCTTTTTTTTTTCTTTTTTTTTCCGCCTTGCTTTTTTGTTTTTTTGTATGTATCGCTAATTATTTTACAAGTTTGATGTGTATAATGTTCTTTTAGTATATGTTTTGTATATATGTAGTATATAATGATATATCAGTTTATTTTTATATCTATATGTCTGTGTATAATGACTATATGTTCACTACATATTTTGTATATAATCCGTTCTTGTTCTCCTTTTATCCAGTGCGACAAATCTAAATACACATGCAAAAAATATACTTTAAATATACACTTGAGTTTGAATTGTTTATTAAAATCGATTTCAGAACTCACATATACGTAAAATATACATATAGTATACATTCGAGATTCTTGTAATTCAAGCCAGTGACAGATCATTACACATATACATAAAATATACATTCGTGATTGTTCTCTATATTGGAACGGGTATGTTCTGCATATTTTGTTTATCTTTTGTGTGTAGTGGAACGACATTTGGATTATTTGAATTTTAAATTCCACGTTTTTTTTTGGACGAATAGGATATGAACAGAAATTCTAAATAATAGGTAATATAAACTTACCTTTTCTTATTCATATTTATCGTGATTGTAGGACAATAGTTTCACAATTAATATGGTAACGTAATTCTCGGGTTACATAATTAAATGTAGTTTAAAAGGTATCCCTGCAAATAAAATCATGAATTTAGTAAATTAGCAAATAAGTTTATTTCTTGTGGTATAGATCAAATTTTGCCTAAAACCTTTCCTCCAATAGGTCTTCTGTTAGCACCACGCAATGATATTTTTTTCAACAATAAAAGTATACTAGTACAACACCCGTGTATTACACGGGTGCTTGCTAATTTTTTTTTAAATCTAAAATTAATGAGAAAAAGTAGTTTGAAAATTTAAATACCTTCTATAAGATTATATATATTATTATATATTTATTATGACACTTTTTATTTGTGCAACTTACTTGTGTTATATTATACTAATTTTTTTTAACTTACAATATATAATTAAATTACATATAAATATATCAATTGAGAAATAATTTTATTTTTCTAATGAATATTAATAAATATTATTATTTTTTATTATTATAAAGATAAATATAATTAATTTATTTTTTATATATACAATATGGATGTCAAATCGAAAATCATCAAAAGATGATTAATTTAATATATTATATATGTAAAAACCGATAAGAAATACAAAAGTTATCTACTTTTAAAATACATTTATAATTCAATAGCTTATTGAAGGAAGCAAATCAAAATTTAGGGATATATTAGTCACTTAGTGCCTCACTATATAAAATTACAAAAAATTAAAGGGTTATATTAGTAAAAGTGATATTAAATACCTAAGTTAGCTAAATAATATTTATGGAATACCCGAACCTAGATTATTAATTATTAATATATCATTATTATTTATCCAAACCTAATTACGAAGCATGATTCTTCGCCAAATAGGATTCCGAAGCATCAGAAGCAGCCACGTAGGCTCAGCGCATTCGGGAATTATATATAGGGAGGATACTTTCACATTCTAATGTCATATTTTAAATTAAAATATAAAATTAAATAAGAATATGGTATTTTATTATAGTATAAGTGCAACTTTTTTTTTTCTTTTTTTTTTTTTAAAAAAAAAAAAGAAAATATGGATCCTGCAGCAGCTTTTGTTAATGTATCAATTTGTGAGACAATTTTCAAAATTTCTTGTTAAAAAAAATAAATAAATGAAGAAAATAGGGAGAATTTGCAAAATGAGTTATTTATAGCCGATATAAAAAATATGCTTGACAACAATATTTGTAAAAAGAAAATACACACGAGAAGCATCCAATAATTTTCTATTATAATATTAGTATATTACTAAACTAATAGTTTTAATTTTATTTATCAAAATAGTAATAAAATTAACAAGTCGAATTCAAATTCATTAAAAGCTCGTTTACTCAGATGGTCGGCTCGGCTCGCTTCGATAAGACTTATAATTTTAAATTTAATATATATACTCTACTATCTTTTAGTATAACTTATTATTAAAACTCACTCGTTAATATAAACAAATAAATAAATAAATAAATCAGAAATCGATAAATAAACTCTCTCTCTCTCTCCATTCTTCCCCTTCCCCATCGCCCCTCAACTCGAGAAGAAGAAAACTAAAAACCTCTGCAAACACATCACACAAAAACACACATTAATGGGCAGTTGTTTCAAAATCAACAGGTGATTCGTGGGGTCTGCGTTGATTTTGAATCAGATCTCTTATATCCTCAGTCGCTGTAATTTTCTCGGCCCACGATCTTTCCTTTTTTTTTT